ATGTTAGCTATTTAAATTATACAAATAAGCAAAAAATCAGAAAATCAAAATTAATCAAATGCCTATCATCTAAAATGAACCAAAGTTAATACATTGTTATGCATAAGGGCATATTATAACTACTTGTAAAGCATTTTGTCATCAAATACCTTCTATAGAATAATTTTAAAATAACTAAGTATATAGTATTTTATTATATCTACCATAGCTTCTGTAAAAAGTCTTTTACCATTGTATACTTAGGACATTTCGAATTATTGTGTTCTTATAAATAAAGAAGTGAACATCCTTGCAGCTAAATCAGTGACATTTTCCTTAAGGTTACATCCTATAAGTAGAATTAGTGCATTCAAGTGTGTGATATTTTTAAAGCTTGATAGATTTGAAAAAGGATTTCAATAAAGTTTTGTCGATTTATTTTTCTATTCAACTGCGCTTTTTCTTACACTTCAACACATTTGATTCATGAAGATTCTATCTCCTTGTTTTAATTAACCTTTCCCTTTTCCTATTTTTGAGCATTTTCTTACATTTAGTGGTTATTTGCATTTGTTATTTATGAATATTATGTACTTATGCTCTTTGTCAATTTTTCTACTGGAGTTATGTTTTTAATAGCTAGTTCTTTTATTTATTGAATATATTAATGTTCTCTTTAATGTATTATATTTAATTAATATACTTTCATATGTTTTCATATTTGTCTTTCTTTAGTTACATTTGATGCATAGTTGTTTTTCAAATATTGAAGCTACATTTAGTAATATTTTTACTGCTTGTGTTGTCAAACTTAGAATGGTCTTAGCACTTTTATACAATTGTTTTTTAAAGTAAAATTTTATTAAAGAATGATCTGTGTAAAGTGCACCCACGATACGAGTAAAGTTCTAGTAATATGTATCCAAACACTCAGATTAAAAACCAGATCATCACCAGCATCTCAAAAGCACATCATGCTCTCTTCTTACCACTATTCCCACCACTATCATTTTCTGAACTTTTGGAAAAATGAAATCATACAGCAGTATTCTTCTGTGTCTGGCTTCTTTCACTGAATCATTTTTTTTTGTGAGATTCATCTCATGTTGTTGCATGTAGTTCTTTATTGATGCAGGTCTTCCATGCTGTTATGAATATCCTTGCAGATGTGTTTTGATGAACATATGTATGGATTTCTGTTTATCAACTATCCCAGAGTGAAATTTCTGTCACAGACTTTGTGTATTTTCAGTGGTAGAAGATTCAGACACTCAACTTTCAATGTAGATTGAGCCAATTTGTCTTTTTCATTTTAGCCATGCTGGTGTATATACAATTGTATTGAGTTGTGGTCTAAATTTTCATTCTCCAGAATACCATGAAATTGATCACTTTTTTTTATATGTACATTGTCCATTTCAATTTATGTTCTGGGGAATGCTTGTTCAAATATTCTACTCATATTTCTATTGGTTTGACTGCCATTTTGTTTTTTTGTAGATTTTTAAGAAAGGAGTCTTTCTCACTCTCTCTCTGTCTCTCTCTCTCTCACACACACACACACACACACACACACAAGTGAATCTATCCACTAAATGTGTGTATATATATGTGAATCCACTAATTCTACTTATAGGATATAAAGAACATGTCATATATTTTTATATGTGTGTGTGTGTGTGTGTGTGTGTGTGTGTGTGTGTTTGTCCTCATTTGTTTATGGCACACATATACATTGTTTAATAGAATTTTAAAAGTTCTTTCTTCTTAACAGTTTGTAACACCAATCCAACTTTATTTGGAAACCAATTCTCTACTAGATGTTTTTCACCTCCTTCCACATATCAGGGGTAATAAGCTATTCAGGATTTCTCTCTTTTCTTGAGTTAATATTGTTGGGTGGTTATATTTTGTCGTAAAAGGTTGCATTATCTGGATGTTTTTGTTTATTATATACAAAATTTTAAACTTTGGCTTCGGATTAATAAAATTTAATTATTTTTTAATCCTATTCAGGATTTCTCTCTTTCCTTGAGTTAACATTGTTGGGTGGTTATATTTTGTCTTAAAAGGTTGCATTATCTGGATGTTTTTGTTTATTATATACAAAATTTTAAACTTTGGCTTCGGATTAATAAAATTTAAGTATTTTTT